GTATTAATGACTGGACTAAGTTTATACTCCTCACTGCAGCCCCTGTCCTCACCCCAAGCCTCCAAATTACTAGGCTAATAGCATACAGTTAAATTCAGGACTTGAAAGCCAATCTTTCAGAAAATCTTCCTCTTCGGTAACTGAAATACAAACAGATTTCCAAAGAAGAGTAGAACAGTTTTAGAATATACCTATAAAAATTACTAAAATACAGTGTGGCAGTGTATTCCCAGCAATGTTTCACAAAAACTATGAACATCCCTAACATGTGTAGGCCCAAACAAAGCCTTGTAGTTCAAGAAGAGAAGAAAACTTTTAACATTCTTTTTCAATGTCCCTCCCCCCTACCCCTGCCCCTTTTAAAATAGTTTTTGCTCTTAGTATAATATTCAGGGAATATTTAGGATAATATTTAGGGAACTTAACATTTAGTATAACAATAAGGAAAGGGATATTATAATATCAAGCGTATTTATTTAGACAATATTAAGATAACTTTGTTCTAAATTTTAAAATGTTAATCTTATAACCTGAGTTTCCTAGTTTATACCAAAATGTCTCTACAAGCTGTATCCAGAAATAAGAAATAGAGGAAGGCACAGCTTTACTGGTAGTCTGTGGTACACTATGCAAACTCCTTAAAAATATCTATGTTCATATTTTCTATTTTTCCACCTTTTCTGCTACAAATGACCCAGATTCTCCTACAAGTGTAGAGGAGAGGGAAGAAAGTTATGAATGCCTAAAGGAAGGAAGCAGAAAGATAGGCAAGACCTTCGTGTTTAATGCCATTGCGCCATTAGCAATCTTGGTTCTGCCTTATGAATAAGAAAATTTGTTTTCTAAGGCACTCCCAATAGTGGTTGCCACACGGGCTTTTCTATTTCAGAATGGTAATGAATCCACTAGCATGCTAATCATGCTGTTACTTGTCTGAAGTATTAAGGATGCCATTAAAGGCAGAGTTTCAAAGATCCTTGATCTAATTTTCCTTTTTTTTTTTGGCAAGTGTGTGGAGAAGCAATTTGAAATTATGTCCTCACATACTAGACCGAATGCAGAAGTGAATTTTATTTTTACTTTTTATACCTGGAAATGAGCCACCTTCATCTTACTCTAAGAAATTCTAACCTCAAAAACATAGGGTAGAGTAATTTTCGGGTTCTTTGAAGATTTGGCAAAAAACAGTGACCATTTGGTGATACTGTTTGATCCTGTTGCTAGATCCCAGGCCTAAAAGTGAAAGGAACAGAACCTTCCCATGAAAGTTATGTTGAAAAAAATTGGAGATGGCTTTCACAGCTTTAAAAGCAGCTAAATGTTTGCTGGTGACAGAAAGACAAAACAATAGCTTGCTTCTGCTCTGAGCTGGGGCAACAGATTGGTTTTAGGAGATACAAAGCAGTAGAGTACAACTTGCTACAGTGAGCTCCTGAGGTAAAACGGAGAGGCCTTGCCACAAATTGACCATTTTATTGGCCAGAACAAAATTTGGCTAATATTTTCCGTGTTCTTTTAAAGTAGTCGTCTCCTACAATGAAGCACGTATTTGGTTTTTTTGTTTGTTTGTTTGTTTGTTTTTGTATATACCAGAGCATTTTTTTAAAACATGGATTTTTCTTTTAAACTTGTGTTCCTGCAAATGTGGTGTAGGTCAAATCTATGAACAGGTTAAGCCTCTGACAAGAAGGAAAGGCACCCCAGCCAATGGGAACCCGTGCTGGTGATGTACTGCTCCCCAGTTCTGATTCATTGGCCTGCTAGGGTTTGTCATTCTATCCCCCGGCGTCTGCAAACCGCGTGGGTCGGGTTTTCCCTAGTCGAGCTAGCTAAACTGGATTTTGGACGCCTGCACGTGCAGTTTCAATCAGGGTTAGCTCATCTCTAACTCTTCATAGAAGCAGCTGTTACGTTTCTAAATATCCTCCACATTTTGAGAAATCTTCCATTCCTTTGCACTCACTGGAGGTCGCTGGAGGTTCCCTGTGACAGAATCATGCAAATAAATACAATGTGGGACCCCACGAGCTACAGCTATACAGAAAACCCACCAGCAATTCAGCATGTGCCCTGTGCGCGTATGTGGGTGGGCGGTGATGGTTAGCATATGTTGCAGCCTTTTGGGACGCGAAGTGTATGGCTGGGGCACCCGCGTGGGCCTCCCAGGATCACTGGGGGAGAATGGCTCTGGAGACGTGGAGTCCTGGGGGGTGGGGGGAGGGGGTCTGGCGGCGGCCTGGGACTCAGAGCGTGTTCGAGCCGCAGCAGCTAAGCCGTGAACAGGCCTCGACTGAGCTCGAGATAAGTCGAAAGGCCGGGATCGGTCTTAGGGGATCCGTGGACGGCGTTTTCACGGTGACTGTGGTGTTTATTTGCAGACAGGTGGAAGCGCTGGGGCGGGAGGCCCGGACGCCTTAGAGCTTCCGAGTCCTGGCTCGGCAGACTGCCGGGTTGGAGAGGCTTCCGATTCCCGGGACTCCTAACTGGCTCACTCTCCGTTCAGTCCCCGGCGCCTGGGCTCAAGGCTCCGGTCCCGGGTCTGATCCGGGATTCAGATGCTCCCGACGGCTTCACCCTGGGGCCCAGGCCGCAAGGGAACCTAGACTAGAAAACCTGGGTAGGACAGTGGCG